GCAAAAGAGGATATTTTGGGGAAAAGAGGAAATCAACTAAAACCATTATGTGGATTATGAATTATAGAAATCAATTGTTAGTGATTGTTTTATAAATGTAAACCCAGACAACACACTGTTCACCAATTATTAAGTGATTTATGTTTTAAAAAATAATAAAATATATTACAAAAAAATGCAAAGAATCAGATGATACAAAAGTATGCCAAGAACTACCTTGAGTAAGAGAGTGTATTTTTAATGCTAAATTTCAGCCCTGAAACGTAATCTTGGAGGCATAAAAACACATCCAATGTGGATCGCTGCCTTTATTTAATTAATCCCTGGGACTGACATGACTTCCTGGGTGGCCTATACTCCCATATATTAGTGGGCATATTCTTTGAGGATGTATCTGTTACTTTCAAGACTGATTATCTTCTCTGTCTAGGATGATCAAAGTATTCTGCTCTCAAATGACTTGCTTTAGATAGCTTATAATTATTTATAAAGGTGGCTGGTGGTAGTGATGATGGGATATGTATATTTGAAAGGCGTCCATTACAATGAAAAGATTCTGCTGGTTTCTTCAGTATAAGGCTAGGTGATTCTTACTTTGGGGTACATAAGAAGCCCTAGATTATTTTTTTAAACCTATGCTTGGGCAATTGCAATGCTTTGGAATTTGGAGAGGGAATAATAGCTTTTAAATCATGCAGCTCCTTTGTATGCAGCTGTTTCCGATTCTTTTTTCCTCCAGAAAATCTACAGTTACCAAGCTAGCTTGATGAATCTTTGACTCTATAGAAAGCAATACCTTTTATCTGTTCTTTTGATTGGACATAATAATTGGAGGAGGCAACATCACATGTATTTTGTCTATTTGACAACTTTATATTATTTGTCAGGAAAAGGATCTCATGTTCTAAAAAAGCAACAGGGAAGACTGCTTGATAACAGATCAGAAACTTGTCCATATAGCTATTCAGATAGTCAGACAGGAATCTTTCCTAGTCACATCTGGGGAGGCCAGAGGTTAAATCAAAAACTTGAATGAACTTCTACAGTTCTGCTTCTCAGTTTGAAAGTACTGGTAAGCATTCTATAAATTCTACATCTCTATCAGATTTTTGTTTTAGGAATCCAGTAGATGCCAGAAAAGAGATATAGAAAACAGTAACTTCTCTGCCAATTTCTGGCCATCTGGATTTCTGCAACCCAAATCTGGTAACTCTTCTAAAGAGTAGCATTGGAATTTGTGTGGATAATGAAAAACATATATACTTGACAGAGTTTGGAGTTCACTCTGCTTTGTGCTTGGCTAAAGATTTAATGATAATAAAAAAGATGGGATAATGTCAAAGGAGAGGTCTATCAAGTAAAGGAGAATATTTGTAGCTCGTTGAAATAGCAATAGCAATAACACTTAGATTTATATATCGCTTCACAGTGCTTTACAGCCATCTCTAAGCAGTTTACAGAGTCAACATATTGCCCCTAACAATCTGGGTCCTCATTTCACCGACCTCGGAAAGATGGAAGACAGAGTCAACCTTGAGTCGGTCAGGATCAAACTTCTGACAGTCAGCAGAATTAGCCTGCCGTACTGCATCCTAACCACTGCGCCACCACAGAAATGAGGGGTCCTTGGTTCTCTCTGAGCTTGGTTGTTTTCTTGCAGACATTGCATTACCCAAACTAGGAAACATCATCAGTGCCAGTCTAGCACTAATGATGTTACTTAGTTTGGGTAATGAAACATCTGCAAGAAAACAATCAAGCTCAGAGAGCACCAAGGACCTCTCAGAGATCTATCAATTCTGATAACTCTGGTGTCTGTACAACAGGTCTACCAAGATACAAGGGCATGATCTTGAGAAATTAGAACGTATGTCTGGTCTTTCTTGTTAATCAGGGATCAAGGCAATTGCTAAAGAATACATTCAAGCTCTAAAATCTGATATGAAGCATCTAATGCAGCGGTTCTCAACCTGTGGGTCGCGACCCCTTTGGGGGTCGAATGACCTTTTCACAGGGGTCGCCTAAGACCATCGGAAAACACATATTTCCGATGGTCTTAGGAACCGAGACAGCGCTCCTCTATCCGTCTCCATACGGCTTCGAGCTGGGGGCCGTTGCAGCGCCGGATTTGTTTCCGTCGAGCATCTTCTAAGGGAGGCTGCGCTGTATTAAAGGGTCGTGGCATTAGGAAGGTTGAGAACCACTGATCTAATGTGTCATAAACTGCACAAAAGGCTATTTAACTTACATGAAGTAAATTCTAGTTTCCTCCAGTGGTAGGGAAACGCTAGCTGCTTAAGGTTTCATTTTGGAGAGGAAGGCAAGATGTAAATGTCATAAATAAGTACTTTTTTTCTATTGATGGGTAATGCTGCTTAAGTTAATTTGCAGCTCATCTGTATGCTCTGTTTAGGTAACACCATGAGACTTTTAAAAATGCTGTGCATTAGGAAAGCAATTAAATTCCTTGATTGTAAGATAAGGGTTGTGCTGTTACATAATCTTGTTTTTAATCTCTTCCCTAATTAGCACAAAAGCTAATTAAAAGCTTTTCAGCATTCTGGGGAAAAAATTGGGAGTTGTACATTTATCTTAGCAACTTGAAACATAGATGATGTCAATAACAGTCACTTGATATACAGTTTAGAAGCAAGTTTCTGTTAATCGTATTGATAGATTATGTGAGGATTTTGTTATTTACAGTAAATGATATTCACGCTCTTATGTATTGTAGCACAGAGTATAAACTGTATATCATATTTTCCGCCTGTGATCTTTGGAACTGACGGTCCAAAGAATAATGGTATTTACTTATTTAAAATTAATAAGGTCTTTGAACCTTCATAGCTGAAGAGAAAAATCTTGTAATGTTATGCCACTAATCTATTTAGCTTTGAATACCAGAGTGGTTTTTGAATAACTTTAAAAAACCATATTGTTGCAGATTGCATTGCAGTTGCTTAATATTATCAAGTCCCAAGCAGACAATCTACGTAGACTGAGGAAGATGACTGTAGCTTATTGTAGGATAATTGAAGCTGATGTACAGTAGTTTGAACATACACCAATGCACATCATAGCAGTGTTCCAATATCTCAGGGGCTGCCACAAAGAAGAGGAAGTCAAGCTATTTTCCAAAGCACCTGAAGGCAGGACAAGAAGCAATAGACGGAAACTAACCAAGGAGAGAAGCAACCTAGAACTAAGGAGAAACTTCCTGACAGAACAATTAACCAGTGGAACAACCTGCCTCCAGAAGCTGTGAATGCTCGAACACTGGAAGTTTTTAAGAAGAGACTGGACAGCCATTTGTCTGAAATGGTATAGGGTTTCCTGCCTGAGCAGGGAGTTGGACTAGAAGACCTCCAAGGTCCCTTCCAACTTTTATTATTATTATTGTTATTACATTGGTGCTGAGCATGGATTTCTTCAGTTTCTCTACTATTGGTTTTGGAAGCTCCTAAATGAATGATTATTAGATTATGATACTTGGTCACAAACATCCATGCACATTAACCATAGTGGGTGCAACAGCAACTAGTGAGATAACATACAGGTAGTCCTTGATTTACAACCACAATTGGGGCCAGAATTTCTCTTGCTAAGCAAGATGGCTGTTAAGTGAGTCACACCCAATTAATAATAATAATAATAATAATAATAATAATAATAATAATAATAATAATAATAATA